CTCCCCTCCCCTCCCCTCTTCCCGCTTTCCTTTCCCACCATGAGTGGAAGTTCTAAGTTCTAGGGATACTGCATCTGAAGAACTCATTTTCACTCAGGTGGGGTGACCCAAAAGAATGGGTATCACAGAAATTTTTTGTCCAAAGGGCAAGTGATGGTAATACTGAGGACATTTTAAGTATAAAGGGGCAGCTGAGGACATTTTCATTTGAAGTCGCATACCCAGGACACCTTACTGTGCCTCCCAAGAGATCACATCACAGGTAATTTCTTTTGGTAGCACTATTTGTTTGTTTAGGTTTTTTTGGTGATTTATCCTGTCAGGATTTTGCTAGAAATTACAGATGGATCAAAGAGCTTGAAGAATTTCCATGTTAACACTATTGTATCAGTTTTAAATTAAATGTAAAAAGTGTGTTTTCTGGGTAAAAAGACCTGCCCTTTGGGATCTTGGCTCCATTGATTAGGTTGTGGGCAACAGAGTTGGATAAAGCAGGCCAGAAAGTCACAGGTGGGGATGTCGAGGACTTGCAAAAAAATGAAATGCATGGTCACATAGTTCATGGTTTTGATTTCTTTATTCTCCACATAAATCTTTAGATAATACATTCAGAGGTTTATCTAAATCTGTGCCTCATTTAAATATTAACATTGCCTTTTGATTTATTTGAACTTTTGAGTCTTCAGTCATATGAAATGAAAGAGAACATTTTTTTAAAAGTCCATATACCCAACACAATTTTTTCTTAAACATTTTGGTAAAAGTTAAAATAATTTTTGTATTTGAATTTGTTTTGAGAAGTTTCCTAACTTTTGAAATAACCTTATAAAAAGATCTTTAAGCCGAATGATATTGTAAGTTGATCTCTTTCCAGTTTGGCATACAAGATGAGAAAACTGATGTGATCTGAGGATTTAAGTAGGAAGGAAGACGTAGAACTAAACAAAGTGTAGGAGCAGGCTCAGTTATAACCTTATTCAGTCGATTCCTGAATACATTCAGCTTTGGGGTGTCTAGTCTTTTATATTCGATAGTTTCATATTTAGCCAAAGAATCTGTGTTTGCCATTAAAGTAGCTATAACTTGAAATATGTACTTTAGAATACTAGAATCAAGTAGGGCAAAAGTGGGGAAAATGGGGTCAGAAAAAAGTCAGCAACACAGTTGTTGAAAAAGCCAGGGAGATGAGAACATTCGTGAACAGCAAACTGCAAACTAAGCTGCTGCCTCTCTATTCAGGTTGGGCAGGGGTTTTTTTTGTTAGAAATTCTCATTCAATTTTAATGCCAACAGTTGTACAAAACCTGGGGTCCAGAAAACAACTGTAGTTAAGTCCTGCTGTTACTTAAACGTGACATTTTTACGAAGGGAGCAAAAAACAATGTGAAATTGTTCTAGGATGATATATATTTTAATAGTGACCTTAAATCACAGAATCTCAGGCTCAGATGCTTATGTGACATAGCATCATCAATGTGATGTTGATGGGACATGTGAAAGTAAGGACAGAGCCTGTGGTCTGAGGCACATCACACTGCAGTACATAGGTTTATATAGATAAAGTCCAGTTAATTCAGCCGTGAACAGAAAAACTGAGGCACAAGTAGAAATACGCATCTCTTGTGTTCGGGTCATGGGAAAATGCAGTGAAGTGTAACATGGACGGCCGTCAATGCCTGAAAGGTGTTGGTAAGTATGACAAGAAATGGTGCAGCCAAACCACAGATTTTGAGAAGTCAGTGGGAGAAGGATGAAAAAATGCTGTTATTTCCTATGGAGGAGAACATATTTGACACTCAGGTGACCTGGAACATTAAAGTGTTTGTGGAAGGATGGAGTAGCTGTAGTCCACCTACTGAGAATTAAAGGAAAAATTTTTCAGAAAGATGGCTTAGGTGGGCCTTTTCTCAGGAAATGAAATGTGAAACACAACATGTTTGAGAGGTAAATTGTGGACCACTTTCTCTTTAAAATTATTTTTAAATTGTCTTAGATGAACTCCTTCAATCAGATAACAGGCAAGGTGACTAAAAAGTCCCATTCAGTCCATCTGACAATAGAAATTTTTTGTAGACCTTGATTCTCCTTCCCTAATCCTTAATTTCCCTCTTTGTAAAATAAGGCTGAGATGATTAAATACAGGAAGACAGTAACAGCTCAGTAAATACTACCAACTTAACGATTACATCAAAGTTGTAGAAAAGGCTTAAGAATAAAATACAATTTATTAAAGGAATATACACACAGATATGGGACATCTTTTCTCAAGTATTTTAACACCATAGCAATACTAAGTGGGGTATAATTTCTTCATGTGCTGAAAGACATGCCTTGACAGATTTTATTGGGTATGGCTATAGGTGACATCCTTCCATAGAAAAACAGTGTACAGCATCACATGTAGAGTACAAACATCTTAAGTTCACTCAGTCATTTCTCTAAACTGCCCCTGAGAAATTTAAATCTTTGCTTAATTCCAAACATTTAACAAAATACTTGAATCTTTCAGAAAATTAACCAATTTCTTCATTTTTCTAGAACTAACTTTTCATTTGTCAATGTATTCTGTTATATCTCCAACCCAAATTAAGCTCTTTGCTAAAGGAACAACCTGTTTCAGGTTCAGTCTGAAAGTAATGAGTTCTAGAGTTTTTCAAGAATTTTAAAAGATTTGTCACCTGTACGATGTAAAAAAAAAAAAAAAAACCCATTATGTAAATAGGAACATCATGTGCATGTAGACGGGAACCACACTGTACATTCCTCTCAGTAGAATAATTTCTAGAAAATGTATAATCTTGGTATTAAGTGATGATGGGAATAACCTTTAAAATCCTACAAATTAAAAGAGATGCTAAACTGGACACTGGTTTTAATACAAATGAATCTGCAAAATTGCTTTATGCTCTGGGAATACATAAGCCTGGCATTAGCTGACTGCACATTATACCATTTTATAGCATTAAATAATGGGAGAAACTGCTCATTTCATTGGATGAAAGAACCAGCTGATACTTAAACGTGACATTTTTACAAAAGCAGCACCCAGAAATCCACCAGTGTTCTGCATTTCGATTTAAGTGCATTTTTCTCTTCCACCAACATAGACTAATGTTGAAAACTGGTAACTATAAAAATGAACTATGTTCTGGACCATCAAGCTGTGTTGAGCAAATATAAGAAAGTACTAATTGTCCTTGTTCATTTTGCCCTCAGCCAAAAATTTTGGCCTGCCAGGTTCTCTGCTTCCACCTTGATTTCCCTTATCTCTTCGTGACCATGTTACAGCTATTTGTAATCCAGTCCGAATTTTTTTTCTCCCAAAGGTCAGCCTAATGAGGCAGCCACGACATGACAAGATGTCAGAGGCGTTGGAAAGAATACACATTCCCCTTCCCTGAGACATCACTGACTGGTTCATGAGGTTTATCATTTAGATATTCCTGCCAAAGGTAGCAGCTCATTGAAAGTATAAACTCACCTGAGGGCCATTCTCAGAAACAGGTTTATGGAGGGACAAGAAAAAGGAGAGCGCTGGAAGCTTACGGTGAAGAACGGGCCCAGAACAAGAGAAAGCTGTGGATAAGGTGGTACGGGATTGCCAGGGCCAATGGTTGGCTTCTAAAAAGTAAAGGGTTATTAACACTGCTGTTCTAAGGCCACCTCTCGAGATACTAAATTTTCCGCCTGGGCCAACTGCAAATTTCTATTTTCAGGGACAGCTTAACATAAATCAAATTTATGAAAGTCTTTAACCATATGCATTCTTCTCTAAAATTTCAAATATTTCACATACCTCCTAAGGAAAGTCTTTCTACAATAAATAAGAACAAAGATTTAAGGACTGTAGAATCTTCTAGGTTTTTAGTAGTTTTCTTAGCCCAGTTAAAAACAAAAGTTATAAATAGCCAGAACCCAATATGTGTATAAATTATAAATGACACATGTCCTTGCCCCAACTATTTAAGTTACACTTATAGATACATCCCATTGATGAGGTAGTCAGATTCCTCAGATGTAATGGGACGAGCTTTTTTAAGCTTCTGTTTCACCAGGCGCAGTCGGCAAGCAACCATGAGAAGCAGCAACGCAGTGATGGCCACACCCAGGGCCAGGGGCAGCACTGCACCTGTGAACAGGGTAGACGTGAAGAGGGTAGGCCAAGGATTAATAACAGGAGCAGCTTTGATTTGTCATAAGCACTTTGCATCCACTATTTCATTTAATCTGAAGAACTCAATTAAGTAGATACCTGTATTACCACCATTTTACAGATCAACTGAGGTGCAGCGAGATTAAGCGATTGGCCTAAAAGCACAAAGCTTGTAAATGGCAGGTCGGGGTCTCAAACCCAGAATTCTTTAAAACCAAATTCTCTATCAGGTTCCTACAAAATTTACCTAGCATCAGTGAGTACAAATGTTGCAGTCAGACCACCCTTACATCCACTGTAACACGCACTAGACAACGCAAAGATGCTGTAACCACAGGAAATTTTTTCATTGTCATAGATTATGGATTCATACACGGTCATTCTCCATTAAAATAAGTATGGACTAATTTCTGATTTCTTGTTCTAGTTAGGGCTTTAAAAATTTTATTTCCTTTTCTAAATCCAGGGAACCTATTTTCAGCTAGTAGACTCACTGTTGAAAGCTAACTATAAAATATGCTGGTGTAATTTTGGCTAAATGCAGTTGAGGGGAAAAAAATCTCAATTTTTTGGTTTTTCCTGTGGGACTGGCCTCAGGGTTTCTCCTGTGGGACTGGCCTCAGCCAGCCAGGCTAGAAGTGGCCTTAAAGGCTGCAGGGGACTGGAAGGGACAGGGCTGACCCCAGGTTGGTTTTTCCCCCCTCTTTATTTGATAAATTTAATATGTTACATTTCATAAATTTAAAGAGTACAGCATGTTACTTTGATACATTTATATATTATAATGATTGCCATTGAAGCAATGTTTATTACATCATTATAGTACAATATTATTGTCTATATTCATTATATTGTGCATTAGATCTCTACGGCTTACTGAGATAAGTCAGACAGAGAAAGACAATTATTGTATGACATCACTTATATGTGGAATCTAAAAACATCAAACCTGTAAAAAATAGATCACTCTCTTAACAAGCTCAGCAGGCTCTTAACAAGCTCAGTTTTTTGTCCAACCCACTCTGTAGTCAGCCAGTCTTGCAGGTGATGTGATGGAAATATTTTTAGCCGCAAGGGTCTTGCCTATTGGTGGAACTAGAGGAGCAAAAATCTCCATTGCATAAGTCGATTTTATAACATTTTCTTTCTTTCATTTATTCCCTCCTTCTGTACTGATTAACAGCCAGGTGCCTGACACGGAGCTAAGTGCTCGTAATCAAAGATAATGAGCTGATACTTAAGAGTGCCAGCACCGGTCTCAGGGCTCTATAGCTTATCACAACCACCATATGAGCTGGTAGAATTATTATCCTCATTTTATTAATGAGGGAACGAAGGCATCGAGAATTAAGTGACATATCTAAATCTGCACAGTAAGCAGTGGCCTAGGACACAGCCCCAGACAGCGCACTCAGAACACTGTGGTACTGCACCTCTTCAAAAGGTAAAGGAGGAAGGTTTTTAGTGACTTCAAGTCTGGGCAGATAGACATTTAAATTAAAAAATAAAAATAAAGTATTATAGTTACTGTGATAGAATTTCATATGAAGTACAGGTATAAGAAGAGTGGTCCATGTAGCTGGTTCGCTGGATTTTTGCTTGAGTGATCTGGATGAATGATGGAGCTTGTCCGGGTGGGTGTAGGAGATAAGCTTATTTTTTGATATTTTCGGATTGAGATTCCTAGAGGTGATCTGGATGGAATTTTCCGTTAGGCTCAGGGATTATTTGGGCCTAAATATGTGGGAGCCCGCTTTAGCATCAAGGTGGTTGCTGTAGCCACGAAGTGCGTGAGATTGCCAGAGAGAAAGGAAGAAGAAAGGGAGGCCAGGAACGAGGCCCCAAGAAACACAAACATTTAAGAGAGCAGACAAAAGGAGAGAACCAAAAGAACAGAAAAAGACACGTCAGGGAAATGCTAGGGCAACCAAGAGAGAAGGGTGTCTAGGAAGCAGAAGGAAGAGACTTTCAAGAGAAAAGTGCTCAGCTGAATCAGATGCTAAGGAGATTCAATCCAGGAAGGTGAAGCCTGGGGAGGCCACTGCACTCAGCGATCGGGAATCTATTTACAGAGAGATGGAAGAAGACTGAGGGACACTGCTGTGTTTTTCATGCAGTGGGAGAGATCTGAATGTGTCTGCAGCAAGCCTGGGGAGGCCACTGCACTCAGCGATCGGGAACCTATTTACAGAGAGATGGCAGACTGAGGAACACTGCTGTGTTTTTTATGCAGTGGGAGAGATCTGAATGTGTCTGCAGGCCGTACAGAAACAGATTAGAAACACAGGAGAGTTAGTAAATGATGGAGAAATGTACCTGAGGAGATAAGGGGCTATATCAAGGTCAGGGGAAGAGGCTGACCTGGGAACGGGGGACACCTTTCCTTTAGTACTGGAGGAAAGGAAGAGAGGGTGGGTGCAAACAGACGAAGGTTTACGTTTGGGGGGCAGGTAGCTGAAGTTCACTCCTGATAGCTTTGATGTTCTGGGCTTAACGCTGGTTCCAGGCATAGCTGGCCGCCTCCTCAAGACAAGAGGACCTGGAGCTGAGTCCATACGAATAGCATTTCAGCTACTGGTGTATTTGTAGAATCCCAGGCAAAACTCTGGAAGAAGATTCTGAAGAACAGCCTGGAAGTGTCTGGGCACAGGAGGAGGGGATGCGGAAGCTGAATTAGTGACTATTGGGTACCAAACCAAGTTTTGGGTAAAGCCGATATTCCCATAGAGAATTGTGAAAGATAAAAATCTCTGATAAACTGGGAGTCAAGAATTTGATTCTAGAGCTGGCCCATACATTCCACACATGCCAGCCCCTCTGGAGGGGGCAAGAATCACTGCTGAATTTCTGACAGTTTGGGCCTGAGCTACTAGTCTTCTTGTGGCCACCCGGGGAAGCCGGTTTTGATAGCACTAAGGGCCATAAAGGTGTCAGTCCCCTCCCTGCTCCATTTTCCTGTACTAGCCATGCTGGTTGGATATGTTACAAAGGAATAGGGCAAAAGAGAGAGTTTGGTCGACCTTTGCTCATTCACGGCAGGAAGATGCACAGGAGCTGGCCCTTCTAAACGTGGGTGACTTGCTTAAAGATGGGCACCAGTGCTTAGGCTACAGGGTCACAATAAAACAGACAAACTCTAGGGGAATTTCCTATTTGCTGAATCAGATGTGAGGCTGGGGCACTGTCAAACCTGGTTCCTGCTTAATGCTTTGATGACAAGGAAAATGAAACCTCCCATAGAGTACTTGCTAGAATGCTGAAAATTATTCTCGACTTTCTAGTCCTTAGCTACCACAGTTTCCTCAATGTGTTTTAGTATGAGTGTTTTGAGATTTAAATTTTTCCAACCCCTTCTATGACACAGCATGATAGTTTTCTCAGAAATCAGCTAAGGGGGTGAACTGGGTATTCTGTTCATGTGACTGGGATTGGCTCTTTTTATTTCAATGTCATGGACAGGGTAAGCTCAGCAGGCCAGGTTCCTGGGCAGCATCTAGGCATTTGATATCTGGAATATTTTAGCCATCTCTTGTTTAAAAATTATACAGAATAAAGTAAAAAAAGAAAACTTTTGTCAATGTTTAGATCTATAACTTAAGAATCATACTTTGTTCTCCTAAATTTTCTTTTTTTCACTAATTAGTTTGTGGGATTTAGGACTAAAACCTGCCTTCCTACAGGACTATATTGAAAGTGTTTTCTTTCTAGTTAAAAAGAACCAAAGTTATGGAATTGTGGTATTCTTCTTCCACTTACTAAATATTCCCTCTACCTCCTACACCCTTTCCCTGTTCCTTTTTATTTTATTTTCTGTCTTTGTCACTAGAACACTTGGAGAGAGAATTGGGTACTCTAAGACCCTTAGTCTTGTGTCATAAATAGTCAAAATAGCCATCATTTATATGGCTCATGTGTGAGCCAAGCAGTGTGCTAAATGCTTTCTATTAACTGGCTTGTTTATTCTCCCTAACAAACAACTCTGTGAGGCAGGTATAGTTATTTTCTCCATCTGACTAAGGAAATTGAGACCCAGAGAGATTAGATAAGCTGCTCAAGGTTATAGATCTTAGTGGTAAAGCAAGGATTTGACCTTTGGCATGTGACTCTAGAGCCCATGTTCTTGACCACTGTGCCACGAGTATGACTCTTTTCACAGAATGCTACACCTGGAGGGGACTATAGTCACCACCTCGCCCAACCAACTTATAAAAGAGGCTGAGGTCCAAAGATGTGAGGCGACTGGCTCGAGAGCTCAGAAGTGAAGCATGATAGAAGGGAAGAGAACACAGTTCTTCTGACCCACAGCTCGCTGCTCTTGTCACGAACTGCTGAAGCTCCATCCAATATCCTCAGCTAGAGAGTACGCGGCTCCGTAAATGTTTACACTCTGCAATGGATTTCCGAGGTGTGCAGTTACCTGTTTCTGGGGCTGGGTGTTCCCCTTCTCCTCTATCGCTCTTCGACTCAAAAACATAATTTTCCTCTTTTCTGTTCTTCCCCAAGGAAGCACTCTCTGTGGAAAATAAGTATAGCATGTATTGAGGGTACAGCAGACACTTTAGGAAACAGGCATGAAAATGTGGCTTTTTTCCCCCCCCTCCCCCACAATGGATTTAAAGAACGGACTTACAGGATCTATTTCTCTAACAAACACAGGCCTCTGTTTGACATTAACACACTGGGTAATAACGAACATGACCAACTTAGAGCGTGCGGCTAGCAGAAAACCACCGGGCAAGGAAAGGCTGTCTCCAAACTCCCACCCCACCCCCGACAGGGAAGGAAACTCAGCTGGAAAAGTCAAGGGTTGTCTCTGGACTTCATACAACGGAAAAGCAGAAACTGTCCAGAAAGGGTTTTCTTCACTTAAAAAATGAACAAAGAGCATCCCTAAGGCAGATAGACACGTTCTTTCACTTTCTCACCTTGACCCTGTCCCTTTTTCTGGTTAGACTCAGAGGTTCAGCACCTGCCCAGGTTCTTTCAAGCATGAGTGCCTCAAGGCTGGAATTAAATTCAAGCATCTAACTGCGTGTTGGCGGAAACCAGCACTTCTAATTTAATGACACGTTGTTCATGGTTTAACCAGTCTATTCCATTTTAACATACGATTGAGAGCAAACGTTAACAAAGATCAAATCTTAGAATTTTCATCCTTGGTTCTGAGGAGCTGTGGCTGTGCCATTCTGTTACTTTCTGTAGCATTTGTGTGCTTGATACATTGACATTAAAATGAGTTAGTGGAGTTACCCTCATGCTGTGTGATTTCAAGTGAGATTTCTGGAGAATATAACGCTTAATGGCCGTGAATCAGAAATGATACGAGGAATTTTATGGAGAAACAAAAAAAAATTTTAAGCTTCTTTGTTCACAGGGCATCAACAGAAATGTTCATAACACCTGCAACTGAAATAAGAATTTACTAAAATAATGAATTTACTAGAGACCACAAATCAACTGGATAATGGAAAATTGTAAAGTTATTCCAGATACTCACTCGAGCTAGAAAGCAATGATTTAAAATGATCATTGCAGTCACACGTCAATGCTGTTCAGCAGAAGGGCCTGCAAACACATTTATTACCTGAAAACATCCTTAACCATCCCATCTGCCATCCTACCATGCAGACCCCCTCCTCCGTCCTCACTGTCACGGCCCTAGGTCTCCATCACTCCTGGCTCAGGCACTGCAAGAGCCTCCTCCCTGGCCTCTCTGCCTGTTGGAGTGTGTCTGCAAAGGTTACCCTACCCCACTCATTCAGCGAATCAGTGCAGTGAGCCTAGCCCACGTTTGCTTCTCTCGGCCAAGGCCACAGCAGGCTCACCGCATTCTATCGTGCCTTGTCACATTACTCTAAAAGGACCCGTGCATGCCAGCCTATATAAGCCAATAATCTGGGCTTTTCCTCCGTGAACTCCGATGCTAAAGAGAATGAGAGAGATGGGTAAGGCATCGGCAATTTCTTGCAGGCTACAGAATCAGATTTACCTTTCAAGTTGACTTCTATGATTGTCCTCTGCCCTGGAGTGGTGGAAAGCCCACTCCCTTCCAGAACAGTGAGGGAATGAAAGGAAAAAGAGCAGCCAGTGTGAGACTCTGTGTGAAGACAGAGACCATCACGGAACCGAAGGGGTAAGAGATGGCCAGGTAATGGTCGGGGCCACTCAGCCACAGAGAGGGATCGCTGCCTGGAGGTGTGGAGACCTGTGTCCTAGTAGAATGCGGACAGGGAGTACTGGATCTAAATGATGGGGCTACGGTGGCACCGGGGCCCTCAAGAACTTGGGCTCTGGGCTACATGGCAAGGGGATTTCAACACCTTTGAATGTGTGTGAACCAATAAAAATTCAAAATAATGTCAGGGGCCAATTCAGGGTTGTTGGTTTTTGGTTTTTTTTTTCCCTAATTTTGCCAAGTAAAGACATGAAAAGAAATGGCCATTTACTAAGGCCATCACTTTCACTTCATTATAAAGTAAGAATATGTCATGAAGGACTTATTACATAAAAAAGACAGTTCTTTAAACAGAATAAAGTTAAAAAGAACTCACCATACTGTCCTTATTTACCTTATTTTGCCAGTGGATGAAAGCCTTATGATGGGTGTGTACTAACACTTCTTCACCTGGCGTTGAGTACTAGGGTCTCTAATTCCGTCATCCTCCTTTTTGACTCGGCCTGCCCAGCCGCAGCCCTCTATTCCCAACAAGCACCCTTCACTTTGGGCAGCTGGGGGGCCCGCAAGAATATTTTTATTCCCAATCTCATTTGTTCATGCAAGTATTTAACATTCTTGTTTTCTACTTATTCAAATTCTTCCCACTCGTTCTTCAAAGCACAGCTGATGTCCATACCTATCACAAAACCCGAGGTGACATGTCTACTAGATATAATGGGCACAGAGCTTAGGGTCTACAATACCTTTAGGGGCCAGCAAAAATATTTTTTGTTTAATTTCTTTTAAAATCACAAGAAAACAGTGACTATGATAACAAATATATAATAGTGATTCTAGCCTTGTATTATATTCATCTCTATACCAACAGTCATAAAATATAATATTAAATTTTTCTTTTTAATGGAGGAAGGGGCCCATGAAGTATCTAGAGCCCATGAAAGTCATAGCGCAGCCAGGCAAGTAGCTAACACTGATGACTCCAATGCTCACGGATGTCTTTCTTTTGAGCTTCTAATGCCCTACCAGGAAGTGCCATACAAGCAGGTCTCAGGGAAGCTGTAGCTGCTTCCTGTTTCTATAGTGAGAAGTTCCTTGAGCACACAGACTTGTTGCATCACCCAGCTGGGGCTGGTCTCAGACTGCTAAATTAAATCCTGGTTTCTTCACCTACTAGTTGTGTGACCCTATGTAAGTCTCAACCTCTCTGTGTCTCAGTGTCTTCATTGATAAAATGTCAGAACAAAACACATTATATAAGTCACTTTTACAAATAATTCATTTTGGTAATGTTCCTTTTAAAAGAGTCAGTGTCCTAGGAAATAACTTTTTCTCTTCTGAATGACCTATTGTGTTATATTTACAATGCATAGCTACCCATTCACAGAGGAAGTCAGAAGCTAGATGGAAGTTATTTTCATTTCATTTTCAGTTGCCAGAGAGCATGCAGGCATGTTCTAGAAGGAAATGGGTTGGAAAACCAGCTAGGAGTGGCTAACAAATGGGTCTGCCTTCCAAAATGCTCTAGAGCTCACTGTGACCACTTACCAACAGAAAACAGAATTGTACTTTCTCACTATTCATTGCAGGTCTGCAAAGTAAGTCAGAGGGAACTCTCTTCAGGTCACGTTCTGGATTGTACTAGGACAAGACCACAATGAGCCAGAGACACTTGGCCTTCGTGTCTTCTTATACTAGAAATGGTTTAGGCCTCATTATAGCCATAAAACTCCTTGTCGACATTCTCTTTGCTCATTTGTCTGTACTAGCTAGGTTTGAGAAAGCCTCTGTGACTGGTCTAAGGTTAGTTAAAAGAAGTTCTAAGTTCATTGGTAAAGGCAGACTAAAGAAATACCATTGTTTACGAATAACTTGTATTTGGTGTAGGATAATGTTTTAATCTTGTCAGAATGCTGGAGGTATTCAACTAACTTCTAGATAAAATGAATCATGTCATTTTATTTAAAACCGAGTGGTAAATCATCAGATCTGTGTGGAAGCACAAAAGACCCTGAATTGCCAAAGCTATTCTGAGAAAAAAGAACAAAGCCAGAGGCATCACTCTGCCCGACTTCAAATTATACTACAAAGTGACTGTGATCAAAACGGCAAGGTATCGGCAGAAAAACACATGGACCAGTGGAACAGAATCGAGAGTCCAGAAGTAAACTCATGTTTATATGGGCAAATAATTTTTGACAAAAAATCCAAAAATATACAGTGGAGAAAGGAAAGCCTCTTCAATAAATGGTGCTGGGAAAACTGGAAGGCCACCTGCAAAAGAATGAAACTAGACTGTTGTCTATCACCACACACCAAAATTAACTCAAAATGGATTAAGGACCTGAATACAGGACCTGAAACAATAAAATGCATAGAAGAAAACATAGGAATGAAACTCAAAGACCTCGGACTTAAATAGGATTTTATGAATTTGACCTCAAAGGCAAGGGAAGTAAAAGCAAAAATAAATAAATGGGACTACTTCAAACTAAAAAGCTTCTGCACAGCAAAAGAAACCGTCAACGAGGTAAAGAGACAACCATCTGAATGGGAAAATATATTTGCAAGCAACGCCTCCAATAAGGGCCTAATATCCAAAATATATAAAGAACTCATATGACTCAATAACAAAAAAACAAACGATCCAATCAAAAAATGGGCAGAGGACCCGAAAGGACACTTCTCCCTAGAGGACATACAAATGGCCAACAAATATATGAAAAGATGCTCTTCATTGCTAGCTATTAGGGAAATGCAAATCAAAACCACAATGCGATACCATCTCACACCTGTTAGAATAGCTATAATCAACAAGACACGTAATAACAAATGCTGGAGAGGATGCAGAGAAATAGGAACCCTCATACACTGCTGGTGTGAATGCAAATTGGTACAGCCACTATGAAAAACAGTATGGAGGTTCCTCAAAAAACTAAGAATTGATCTATTATATGATCCAGCAATCTCTCTACTGAGTATTTACTCTAAAGACTTGAAAACTCATATCTGAAAAGATATTTGCACACCAATGTTCATAGCAGCATTATTCACAGTGGCCAGGACATGGAAGCAACCGAAGTGTCCTACGATAGATGATTGGCTAAAGAAGCTGCGGTATATATATACAATGGAATATTACTCAGCCATAAGAAGAGATGAAATACTGCCATTTGTGACAACATGGATGGACCTTGAGTTAATCATGCTAAGTGAAATAAGCCAGACAGAAAAAGGTGAAAATCACATGATATCACTTATATGCGGGATATAAACCTAAAAGCAGCAAATGAACAGGACAAACAAACAAAGACTCATGGACATGGACTATAGACTTGTGGTTACCAGAGGGTGGAAAGGGAAGGGGGAGAGAGATGGAGTAAAAGGAGTCAAATATGTGGTGACAGAAAGAAATCTAACTATGGGAGGTGAACACACAGTGTAAATATATATATGCTTTACTGTTAAAGTGCACAGCTGAAACTTATTGGATTTTGTTAACCAATGTCACCATAAAAAATAATTAAAAAATAAAATAAAAAATAAATAAAACCAAGTGGTTCCCTTGGGCCCAACCCAAGTGGGTCAAGTGTCATAAAATAAAATTTATAAGGCATCTGTAGATTTCAAATAATACAAATTATGCAATCCCTAATACAGTGACCAAAACTTCAGACTGAAATCTTATAGGAGGTAGAGGGTGCCTTGTCCAAGACCAGCGTTTCTCTAAGTGGCCCAGGATAGCAAGTGTGTTTAAAGGCATCTGCTGATTATGGCTGATTAAGAGACATTTTCCAAACAAGTCAGTAGGTCAATGAAAGAGGACCTACTCCTCTCAAAATAAGCTCGTGGAAATAGCCATCTGATTATCTTCATTTGTGCTAAGTGCATTTCCTTGAACTGGATCTCCCATCATTTGAGAATCCGGGCGATCCCTGCCACCACACCAGAGCCCCATCAGAGGCCTTCAGCTGTGCTGGTTATCAGGTGTCAACAGATCCAAAGTAATTTCCAGAAATACTGTTTTATAGTTTCAGTGGTTTCTCAATAAGAAGAGAAACAGTCCGATATAATGAAAAAGTGATATACTCATGAAAAATACAGGGCATGTGTATTTTTAAATGTCCTTTATAAGGATGTCCTCTCTGAATAAAATACTTTCCAGAATAATATGAAGGTTGGAGTTCCTCACTCTAGTTACCTCCAAAGAAAAGCTAAACTGTGAGTTTTGGCCTGTGAGACCGTGCAGGCAGAACCCCACGCCTCCTCACAGAAATCACCATTCTCCTAAGTCCACGCTTCCGTCTGGATCCTTAAAGAATTTGGCTGACCTGCCGGGCTGGACATGAATTCACAAGATTTCAAAAAACTGGATTCAATGTGAATGTGGGTAGAACGACATTTTTCTACATTCTGCAGTGCTGGAAACCAGATTTCTTTCATCCAGCTGAGTCAGGTATAAGAGGATAGCCTTGCTGATGGATGACCTGGACCACAGAGAGAACAGGCCCTACAGCTGCAACCACGTCCAACAACACCCCAGCCACTGTGCCACTGCATGCTGCACAAACAGGGCCACACGGTGGCTCTGCGCAGTCCGCACCGATGGCTCTCAGTGGACGGAGTGTGCATTCACTTGACTAACCCAGTATGTGTTACCCTCAGTGACACACCTGGGGTCAATCTGCAAAGCAGGACACCTGAGTCAAGGCACACACAGTCTTAAGGCTTCAGAAACTGCCCTCTGGAAGGCTGTACTAATTTTAATTTCACCAAAAGTACGTGAGACTTGCTTCTCTACTCTTATAAGCATGAATTATTATATTTTTTCACCTTTGTCAATGTGATAGATGAAAAACTGCCTCTCATTACTTTCTGTACTACATCATTCATATTAATCTTAGTATCTCTTCAGCATGTCTTTAATGGGATGAGGTTTTTTTTTATTCTCACAACACGTCTGTAGGAGAAGGAGGCAGGAGAAAATTGAACTTGTCCTTATTTATTATACTAGCTGATGATTCTTGTTAAAACTCAGGCAGAGGTCACAAACAATGATGTGTTTTTAAATCTATGTTATGCTGGGTATAAAGTCATTTCAACTCACATAAAACTGGAAGCTGGGGATGGCAACGTGGTGGCCTTAGGGATGATGGCAGGGAAAGGAGATGGCTGCTGTCGAAACAGAAACCACGTGCTGTGAGGGCCCTTCATAACATTTTCCAAGTTCTATTTTTCTCTTCCCACTTCTTTCATCCCAGGTTTTCAAAAATTGTGTTTTTGATGGACATTTAATAACACATAAAAATGCTCATGAGAAAAATAAGTTTTGTAAAAATAGTATTAGTAATAGTAATTGTAATTTTGTTTTCAAAAACTGTGTTTTTGATGGACATTTAATAACACACAAAAACGCTCATGAGAAAAATAAGTTTTGTAAAAATAGTAGTAGTAATAGTAATAGTAATTTTGTTTTCAAAAACTGTGTTTTTGATGGACATTTAATAACACACAAAAATGCTCATGAGAAAAATAAGTTTTGTAAAAATAGTATTAGTAATAGTAATAGTAATTTTGTTAAAGGTATATGTATGTATACAGATACAAGTAACCAGCAGAAAATGCAACAAAATGTTAATGGTGTGTTTTGCTAGATGATTTAAATTTTCTTCTTTATATTTTTCTGTATTTTCCAAAATTTCTACTGTAAATACATATTGCTTTAATAATTAGGAAAAAACAATACTTATTATAAATAATAATTGGATATCTAATCTCTCTGCATCTGGGAAACTCCAGTCCCTACATCTTCACAGCCCAACTCAAAGGCTTATTATCAAAAGAACAAAAAAAGAGATTACAAGTACATTTCAGATTGGGTGCCAACTCCCTTCAACTGGTGGTGGCAGCCTGGAGCATTATTTTCTGGATCTGGAGGCTGAGTCCTCACTCGCCAAGAGACGGAGCTGGGATCACTGGGCAATGTCTAGCACGGACAAGGGCCATGAGAGGGCTGCATGAGCGTCAGGTTATTGACCACTCTCGAAACAGACTCTCCACACTAGATGGGGCCATGGTGGTCCTCTGGTAGAAATCCCGTATTCACTTACGGTGAAACTGAGGTCCAGAGATTTGCAGCAACTTACTCAAGGTCCTAAAGCAGAGCCAAGCCTAGAAGCTGATTAAGGAGACCTGGACTTTGGTCTCCACTCTGCCTTCGGTGGACTGTTCACGCTCACGTGTGTGTCTCCCCCAGGGATGTGGCAGGAGTTCATCCATCCTGGCCTCCGGGAACTCAATTCCCTCTGTCAGATCTTCATCTCACCTGTCCAAAACACCTGGTCTCCCTGACTCTGTTTCTTAGATGGTGGCTGTCTCCTCAATACAAGCCTTCCATACAAAGAAAATGGACTAAAACAAATTCTAAGGCAGGGATGGAGTGACTCTTTTGCCCATTAGGTGGCAGTATCAACAAGGAATTGACTATCTGAAGTGTCCTTAACCTAAACCGGCAACAAGAAAAGCCCTTTATGGCATATTTTGAAAACACAGTTGTATAGAAGCAATTAAAATTTACAAAGTAGATAAACAAAAGATGAAAAGGAGCTATACCAAAACATTAAAAGCTGTTTACAATCAAGAGTGGTATATTTAGTCATTTCTTTTTTTATTATTGTCTTCTGTATCTTCTGCAGTGAACATAAAATTTTCATAAATAAGTTATCAAACTAGTGATAGATTATTGCTGTTTAATGTATGTAGAGCTTGAGTATTGAAAAGACAGTCACAAAAGCACATAGAAATGTGATCATCTATATTTCTGTTTCGTATGCTATATAATCATGCAAATATAAAAGTATAAAAAAGAAATTTTAAATGATACAATCTTATAGTGCTTCGGCAGTGTGAATGTATTTAAAACTCTTATTAGCCTTATTAAAAAATTAAAAATTACAGATTTAGTTACATTGGAGACATACACTGAATTACTAGCACATGCAACCATTTCAACATATATATTTTCATTATATTCACTTCTTTGTGAGAAGAGATACATGGATACATAGGGTTTATGCTGCTCCCTCTCAGAATAATTTAAAATCGAACACTTACGGCATTAGTTTCTTTAACATACATGTTAAAACTTTCTAACTCTAACTTATTTACAAACAAATGTATTGATACTCTGGAGTGTATTTATGTATGAATGTACGAAACACCTTTAGTAGGTGTTTCTTACTATGAATAATCAATTACAAATGTCAAGTTGTTTTTTTGGTCAAATTCTTCATTTTAACTCTCTTCTTTAAGATATTTCCTTAACATTCTTTAAATGTAATCTTAATTTTGAGCCAAGTGTCATAGAAAATGAGGCTCTTTGCGGAGAATCCGTCTAAAGTCCTTACCTGGCATCCCAGGATCGATTTGACTCTTTGGTCCCCAAAAGGCAGAGTGATTCCTCTTCTCCGTGTTTGATAACACAGGTGGCCAGTTTCGGGCAGTGGCTTCCTGAGACTTGTCCAACAAAGAGCCCTCCCCTGCACCTTTGCTCAGTCTTGTGGTTCCCGGCTGGGCGGCTGCTGTGTGAGTCACCATCTCCTGGCTAAGGCTCACTGAAGTATGAAAAGCTGCTGTTGGTTGTTAGCTTCTTTTCAGAACTTTAACTAAAACCACTATTATTGCAGTAAATTTGAAATTATGAATATTTGGGAATTATAACCTAAGAAATGTCAGAGCACTATAAAAACACTTCTCTCTCGTTTTTAAATGGTTAATCTCTCTTCTCCCAATAATCAACTTTCTAAATGTCATATAAATTGACAGAGGTAAAACCTAAACCCAAGGTAGTGAAATTCTTCATCCTTCCTCAAACCAATACCTCATTAAACTTTCTGCAGCTTTTCTTCTTTCCTGTGGTACATGTTAATGTTTATGACATTATAAGACTGCTTTATGGATCTGACTGAGCTACAGCCTAGCATGTCATAAATTTTCTTAAAAAATTGTCGAAAGAAAATGTTAACTCACTTCGGTTTTTTAAAAAGCACATGCTCTAGAGTATTTTTAGGATGGGGAAGCATCTTTTGGAAAATTAAGAATAATTTCCTAAAAATGTAAGCAATATAGAATATTTGACTTTTGCAACTAGCATTAGAGACTCATAATAAATGCTCTTTAAGGCATAGCTTGTTCACATAAAGTTATACCTGAAACCAGGCAGAAAAAAAGCAATATTGAGTTTGCATTTTATTATGAGAATATACACCTCCCTCCTACCCCAAAGGGCCAGGCAGCCAACTCACGATTTTGACAGAAAGCTTCATCGGACCCATCAGGACACTGCTCCACTCCATTGCAAGCCAGTGTGATGTCAATGCAACAGCCATTGTCACAAAAGAAGTGGTAGCGTGAGCACACGTTCGAGCATCCTGTTTGTGAACAAGACTCAAGTCACAGGAATGCAGGAAATTTAAGACTTTCACCATGTCAAGACTGAGACTAAATATATGATGAAATGCATGTGGGTAAAGGGATGCTGATAAGGAGGAAACACCTAACAGTCTGAGCTGGAGCAATATAGGTCCTGGAAAAGTTAGGGGTTCTCTTCTTGACCGCCCCTGACTTAATTCTCGAGACTCACCATGAGCCGTTCTCCGAGCTACATTGCCTAAGAGGTGGGAGGAGAAAGCAGCAGCTCTGGTTTGCACCATCCACACCTGAGTTTCCTCCCCCAGGTCTCACTCTGCATTAGTTCCTTCATCCCATCATCCCTTTGGTGGGCCACCTAACACCATTATACGCCCTGCATGGCACTCGGGTGGCTGATCGTGTTGTATCAGAGACACCACTTTATACATGCTGCGTCTTGCATTCTTGTTTCCTAAGTAATCATTTTTACTGAGGTTAACTCTCTACTATTGAACCTATTTGTTGTGATTAGAGAAAAATTCTGAGATGGGCTAAATAAAATCACAGCAGGTCTGAGAATCGGGGAGAGAGACAGGAGAGGTTAAGATTGCTTACATCCTGAAGAACGCTGAAATTTTGAATCGAATTCCAGGTGGCTATTTCAGCTTTTATCTAGATAAAACAGCCGAAGGTCACATGCCACCATACCTTGCTTACACATAAACTTTCCAGGGTGTTGCCCACTGCCAATCCGCAGAACTGTCTCTGCTTCACTTTCTCATGCCCTCCTTATCTATAGCCTATGCACAGCCTTTCAAAACATTTAGATCTTTTTTCCCCAAAACCCATTGTATTAAAATCCCATTAGCTCCAGGATGGCGAACATGTCTGTCTTCTCCATCTAGCCCTGCGGCTGGTGGGTCGGACATCAGACCCAGGACCTGGTCCTTTCTGGCTAGCACATAGCTCAATAAACCCCTTGTTTCAGAAAACCGAATCCTTTTGATTATCGAAATCAAAGGATTCTTCATATCCTTGGTGCTGTGAAGAATAAACAGAATCTTCAGATACTAGCTGGTTGAATTAATTGTCTTCAAATAATAAAACTGTCTCCCTTTGGGAGCCCTTAGGAGTTGTTAATCCTCATCATATAATACAGGAGCTACATGTGTTTTCTTGAAACACACTTTCCCATTCCAAATTAAGCCAATTTTACTAGACTGAGCTGCATACCAGCTGTGTGACTTTTCTGACAATGGCGATACGAGTAAAAGATGGCAGGCTAGAACTAGGTTGTAAAGAGCTCCATAATTTTCCAGGGACAGGATGGACTAGATCTCTCGGGACATGGGACAGTGGTAAATGATGATACACCACTGAGGCAAATGGCTGAGCAGCGTATACATGGCCATGTGAAATTCTGGATACATACTCCATTGGGAAGCAGTTCAAAGGCTGGGAAAGGAGTCCATCTAAGAGCAAAGCAACCTGAAGATATCTTAATCCAGGAGGAAGAGGATGAAGTAAGGAAATGGTGGTTAAAGCTCCCGAGAAAGAAGCAGGAGCAACTAAGAACTTGGGCCTAGAAAGAAGAACCTGCTTCCAGCCCAGGGAGAGTTAGGAGGAAAAGCACAGAGTCTCTGTGAACATCAAGCAGGACACACCTACTGCTCACATTTCTTAAGTTCCTGATGTGAAAATCCTGAATATCTCAACGCTTTACTTATTCCTTGGTAGTTTTGCAAATAGAGCCATATTTATAATTTATCACCTACTTCCAGATTACTGGTCTCCAAACTTTTTTGACCATGCATCCTGATCAATAATATATTGGTGAACACGCATCTCCAATCTATAAATAATATGCATGTACTAATGTATTAACATAGTGCACATGTTATAAAGTATCCTGAAAACTTAAAGAAGATTAAAAAGTCAGAAGACTAATTTCCGGTGTCTTGTCTTCCATCCTGAAAACATCCGACTACGTGTGGGGGATCCTATTTGGAGACCATTGATCTAGATCATATTGGAAGTGTCTGTCGGCTTGATGTTCGAGTATATTCTTTCCCCCGAAGCTTGAAAACATGCAGCCTCTGTATCTAAAACTGCACCAAGTTATTATCACAAAAGTGGGGTTATGTGCTTGTCTGTTTACCCCAGAAAGTGCCACCTTTGGTAACCATTACAGCTGGGTCATTAACTACAAGATCGATATTTATAATAGAGGGGAGAGAAACACCTCTTGATCCCTGCCTGTGGTTTTCAGTGTCTCTAGGTGGTGACTTATTAACTTTAACTCATAGTATGTTATTCCAATCTAACCAATGAGTGACTCCAGACAGCAGTGAGTACTATAGCCACTCTTTTTTATTTTTCCATAAAGTTACATTAGACCTATACCCAAGTGGCCTTTCGGTAATCAAAAAAATTCACTTAACTGTCTGCCACTTCAAATACATTTTATTACCATCTTAAAGAAAGGCCAGAAATACACAACTGGACATTTTGGAGCCCTGGAAAATTGGCCTGATTACATAAACCAGGACAAACACGGGGCCGGTGAGCTGCTAGTTATCTGCTTATGTCAGCACAGGCCCTTTCTCCCACCCAGGCACCTCGGCCGTAAAAAGTGATCCTTTTCTAATTTCTGTAGGGGATGACAGGGTATCTCTGCCTTCTCATGAGCACTTTCCTCCCAGAATCAGCACTTGACTCGGTCCCTGCCCAAGCCAGCACTTGATCCCAGGAGAATAACCTTCTGGCTCTGGCAGTCCTATGCTGGGGAGTGACTGGCTGGAGCCAATGCCATGTGTCCAATGGCCTTGGTGCATAGCCAGCACATGAAGGCCCTCAAAAGTAACTGTCGGGCTCTCATGCACCTGCAGTAAATCAACAGGGCCTGCTCAAATCAAGGCTGGGCTGTATGGGTCCATTTACACCATCACTGACTCACAGTGGTGATGTGGGCAGGAGTTTGGTGACTGGGCAGGAGTTTGGTGACTGGCTTACCACAGGAAGTCACTCCTTTCCTCACAGCAGGCCTAATCTCTGCTAGACAGTGAGTCGACCAATCAGCCTTCAAAAGCTGCTTACGCTAATTAGCTGTGGAAGGCAATATTTCAAGGCTGCCAAGTCCTTAATATTCTAAAAACTCCTTCCTTCATTTCTAATATGCTTACTGACCTACATCTTTGACGGAAGACAAGATCAGCAATAGTACAAGTAAACCAGTCACATTCCAGTTTTTATGTCCTTATTCTTCCAACTGCTGGCTTAATTACCATCCAAGTACTGAGTAATGGAGGATGTCAGAGGCATGCTGCAAGTTTACTAGAGCCATGGCTAGTGACAGAGAAGGTCCACTCTGCGCCCAGTGCCGAGCACGGCTTCTGCATGCTGTAGACACTAAGGGCATATCCGCTGACGGAACGACAGGACCCTCGAATATACAGTACGTCAGTACCTCACCACAAGTTTACTGTGGGAGATTTCACTCTGCAAAACCCCTATACCTTAGTGCCACTGAGTTCCATGTGTGTTTGTTTTTTTTTTTTAATTTGATGAGCTAATTTAGAAATGCAGATGTTTGGGAAAGAAAGACACATAGATCAATGTGATAAATGAATTTAAAATGTGCAACAGAATGTGAGCTCCATGAGAGATCTGTAAAGCTACATTATAAATGGATCTGTGCATCTGTGTAAAGTACCCAGAAAACTTTTAAACAGTCCTTTTAAATTGACACATGCAGTTTGCATATTTTTATTTGTCTTAAATGTACTCCTCGCTGCACTCCTTGAACATACATATCAAATAGGCCACCCACCTTTAAACGAGATCCTCTCCTGGCAAAGTTATCTTTCATGAAATCGTGTCTAGGAGAGATGGAGCATCTACAGGTTCCCATAGCCCTCGGTCTGCTCTCATGCCCCGGACTGCTGCCCGCCTCAGTTCAGCAGTGTCACTCAGCCCCAAGTACAACAGAGCCTATTTTTGTTATCATTCGACAACCACCAAAAAGAAAATGGGAAGAGCCCATGGAATGCGCAGTTAGAACATCACAGGCCAATCCAGTACCACCCTTCTGCAAATGGTCTGGTTTCTGTCGGCCACCATGAATGCGAGGGAAGGACTTGCTTCTCACCTCCCGTGGAGAAGGCCATGGGCAGCACTGTCACCGAAACGTTGTCGGAGCTTCTCTGCCCGGCAGTGTCCATCACAGTGAGCTGAACGGTGTATGTTCCTTCCCGTAAGTGGGACAGCTTCAGGGTTCCTGACTGGGGCACCTGACACCCAAATGGAGACATCGTATTCAGTTAGGATACGAGGCACAGAATCCAACATCATCCTGAACCTGGAACCAGTGTCGTCCTCGTGGCAGGCCCAGCACCTGCCTCTCCACTCCTGGTCCAAGGCTGCAGAATGCTCCATCGTACACGACTATGACAGGTTGAATTCACTATTTCTACTTTTATCTGGGATGACAATGTCCTTGACTGACAATCCTTCCCTTGTCCTCAGCAGCCGCTATTCCAAACTTGTACCTCCTCCCAGCTCCACACACAACATCGAGTCCTTCCTTCTCAACAGGTGCCCTCATCTACTTCAAGAAGAAAACTGGGACCATAATTATAGTCATAATTATGGTTCCACCATTCCCCTCATCCTGGGAATGCACCTGTATCTATACCATCGCCACTTCCTCTCCTCCAGTCACTACATCAGCTGTCCCTCTTGCACTCCAGGCCAACCTCTCCATCTAGTCCTCGACCCCTTTCCCTCTGTGATTCGTAGGCTCAAGTTTCTCTTGCCCTAAAACAAACAAACAAAACAACGAATAAGAAACGTCCTAAACCTTCCCTAGTCTCAGTCTTATTTCCCTTCCATTTTAATTGTTTTTTTTTTTTTGAGGTTATATATTTATTAAACAAAATGATTATGTGCCAGGCGTTGTGATACACAACGGGGGACAGTGGTGACCCAGTCGCACAACTGTTCCTTGCTGATCACCTCTTGGGCTCATTCCCTAAACCCAGGACTCCACCTTGGTCCTCTACCCGCTTCATGGCACTTTGTTGGACAAGCTTCCTGATCATGGAGAGAGCAAGAGCTTCTGAGGCCCAGTTCTGCGGTGCGATTTTGGGAGTCATTTTCAGATGTTCAATCTAAAGACCATTTTTTTCTGCCCTCTCAATGATACTATTAGTTGTTTAATATCTTACTTTTTTTCTTTTTTTTTAAAAAAAAGACCTCTTTCTGCTTAAAGGAATTAGTCTGGATTATTATTCTCTACAAACGAATTCTGAGCATTATACATTTTATTACACTAATACATTAATGGACTTGCAAGTACAGAGAGTCTGCCCTATTATAACTCACCTGCTGGTTTTTATTGAAATTCTAGAATTTGGACTCCTGCACATCACCTTGGCTTAGAGAATTTGTCAGTACTACATACACACACGATCAGAATGCTTTACAACCATTTAGCAGCAATAGAATGAGGTACAGTGGCTGAGAAACTTTAGGCTGCTCCATAATCACTCAGAGCTCCCGTTAGGGCACAGATTTCCAGGCCCCAGCCTGAGACCTGAGTCAGTGGGTCTGGAGAGAGGGATCTGGGAATCTACAATAACAAGCCCATCTAGGTGATCCACTGATCACACTGGAAGAAATGCAGCAAAGTAGTAATTTAACTTGTCAGTTGAAGGGAGATCCAATAAGGTGTGTTCCACAGATCAAAGGAGAATGTGAAGAACAGACAGATATAAGCAGTCATGAATGCTAAAATGAAGTTGCTAACAGATGGGAAACTGAAACAAGCCGGCTATTAGTACCTATTAGCTACTGAAGTGAGTGTATTAATAGATTAACACCTATAGTGCTAAAATGTCATGTTTGAAATCCACTTTTCTATAGGAAATTAACTGCACCTCTATATGAAAAAAATTATTTGCATTTCTATAGGCAAGAACTATTTGCATCACTATTCATTTTCTATAATTTATAAATGCTAAACTTAAACGACCTGTTCTACAACCCCCGGCATTCCACTGAAAGGTACTCAGTAATCTCTTGCCATTTCAGTCTTCACAGCTTTTTATGCCAATCTTAATCCACAAAATGGGGCTGCACTTTCTTATAAAGTTGTTCTGAAAATTACAGATATGTCTAAATTACCTGAGAACCAATCAATGACCTCTTTATAATGATCAAGTCATGGTAGGATGAGTTTGCTTTGGGGGGCATTCATGAATGTACAGCATTAATAAGATAGTCACAGTTTGGTAGAAAATGTCTCTCCCATCGCAAACTCTGTCATTTAAATGATGGTTTTATAACTTTATGTTTACCTGCCATCACTGTTACACTCTTGGCTGGGGAATTGGTCCAGATTCTCCTCTTGATGGCACAGCAGTCAGCCATAAAAAGCCCATAAGAAATGTCTAATTTTGTTGCTCCTTTATAAATAGCCTCAACGAATTAAATATCGAATCATCAGTATTATTTTTATTTAACTCTCATATATGCAATTCATTATTTACAGAATAAAGCTTTTAGTAGCATATCTGGAAAGCCAGAGGCAGGTTTGTAGCTGCTCCTAGAAGTGCCAGTTAATAGTCAGTGTCCTTCTCTGGGGAGCTCTCCAAGCAGATGATCAAGGACTTGTCCATGCACCTTTCCTGATCAACCTTAGTTCTCAAAGATTTCAATAAAGATATATTAGTTTTGCAGCTGATACAATGCATAGAAGGATAATAAATATGATGGACGACACTCAAAGTTCAAAATTATTTCTGTTGTAACCAAAAGCTGAGATGTAAAAAGGATAAATATCAGGGTCTGCACTCAGGTTCAATAGAGCAAATACACAACCAGAACGGGGAGGCCCTCGGGATGGCAGTTTATGTAGAAAGGTGAAGCAGGTTTTAGGTAATCCTGCTAACGGAAAACTCAGCATGAATCTATCGTGTGATGCGGCTACTAAGATAGTTTATGTTAATTAACCTTATAACTTTAGGTCTATCTTCCATCACCGTTATTAATAGAAGTAGAGACAATGAATCAATTACAGGAGGTGATATCTGTATATCTGTATATTACAGGAGGAAGATACACAATCTTCAGTCGACATGTGGGGTTCAATTAGGGGTTTCAGATTTTAAGGGCATGGATGAATCTGAGAAAATCCAGAAGAGGCTGCATGGTGGATGGTCTGAAAATCAATTCATGTGAAGAACATCTGAAAGAAGTGGGAGTACTGAGTTCCGAGAAGAGCGTTCCAAGTGGTGACATTCATGTGTTTCAAAGATTTAAGGGACACAGAATAAAAAAAGATGTATTCAGTGTTTTTCCAGAGAACACCCAGCACCAAGGCACAGAAGGAACAGGGAGGCCTATCTTGTTTGCTTAATAATTACAGCTGATTACAGATGTCCCGGGGCGTGACGTGCAATAGTGAGCTTTCATCTCTGGAAATATCTAAGCAGAGTGGGAGACCCTTGGAAGAAAGGTGATACGGGGCTCTCGGATAGATGGGAAGCTGGGTAAGATGCTGAACAAGGGTCCAACCACTGCTAAGACTATAAAATCATTGAGTAAATCAGTGTGTTTCAATCAGCCTCGAGGGACTAGGTGATTATTGTTTTTGTTTTGTTTCAACAGAATATAAATCGGTGCTTCCCCACAGAAAGAAGACCACAAGAAGACACAGGAAGGAAAATACAGCCCACGACAAGCCACGGAGAGAGGCCTCAGAAGAAACCAACACTGCTGGAACCTTGACCCTGGACTTCTACTACCCTCCAGAACTGTGAGAAAATAAAATTCTGTGGTTTAAGCCACCCGGTCTGTAGTTCTTTGAAGTGGTTTGGCTGACATTTACCTAGCCAGAAAATACTAACTAGAAAGGGTCCTGGCTGGCGTAATAAAAAGCCGCTTGCCTCATGATTCAAGACTTTCTGTGTGCCGGCAGCTGCTGCTAAGTTGCTCCTTCTCATCTGCAGAGACGCCCGCTGGGCCCGGAGACGCCAGCTGGGCCCAGAGACGCCAGCTGGGCCCAGAGACGCCTGATGAAAACCAGTGCTGAGCCGGGGACTGGGGGCCCCTCGTGCTACCCCTCCCGCACTTGTTCAGCGATCTCAAGCAGGCCTAACTGCTCGGTAAGACGGTTGCTTTCTGGGTCACGTGAAGAATAGGTTGGTTCTGTTGTTGTTTTCCTTGTTACACTCTTGTAATTTTCAAACTTTCTATCTGGATCTTGGACTAAGAAAAGAAATAAAAATGTTTAAAAGTAATCTGAGCCTTTTTCCTTGAAGCATTTTTGTATTTTGGAGAAGTCAACAAAAAAGCAAGAACGAGAGTAAGCTTTAACGTAAATATCAGGATCACCGTTTACTCAGTAGAAAACCAAATTTATAGAATAAACCGTTTTTGGGTTTTTTTTTGACAATCACTTTTATACTTCCTCCGTTTCATACCTCTTCTGCTATCTCACAGACATTTTGGGAACATAAGTGGAAGGAGATTACTAAAGACCACGTCAGTGAAACCTTAGTTTCTGTTAAAACGGCAACATGAATTACCTTCATGTCCACTGATGGGTCCCCCCGCAGCAGCACCCACTCATACTGGACGATGGCATGGTCATCTGTGCTTTCACGGCCATCCAAAGTCACCGCGTCGGTGGGCAGGCGCAAAACCACATCCTGCCCGGCCTTGCTAACTGGAGGCTCATCCTTTTCTGTGAGAGAAAATAATTCACAGGAGAGATGATTCCCTATTTTTTTTCCTAGTTAATTAAGAGAGGTATCTTGTTTGCTAGCATAGATGTAGTCTAGCAAAGAACTGCTAAGGATAGATACAGCAACTGAAAGTTATCTTATTTTCATTGTATTCTCTTTACATAATAAAGAAAATAGTCATAAATTATGAATATAGACTTTAGCTGTAATGCGTGCTAACGCGGAAATGTGGCGTGTCAGCTGGCAACGGTGCTGAGGATAAAGTCGTGGGTCTGTGAGAGCGAACGAGGCCCTCCAGCGTATAAATCCGGAGTAGCTTTACTCTCCAGAGTGAATTTTTCACTTAATTTATAAACGGCTTATTAAATTAATTTATCAAAAAGTCTTGAAGTAAACCTTAAAAAATCCACCTCTGATATAGATTTTTTTTTCCTTATTCTCAAGTTTTTAAAATAGTGACAGAAAGTGTTCCATGAATGGGAAATAAATTAAATTTGGAAAGTTAAGGCAAGTTCTTGGACTCATACAAAATAAAGCCCACATAGAAATTCCCTGTAATCTAATTTTTCATCTAGGAAAATAGAAGAGTCACAGCTTCTAATAATTTTTGTAATAGAAGCTAGCACACTGAGTTTCTGAGGTGTCCTATGATAACAAAACAAATGTGTCTACCTTTGATCTGAAATGGTACATAATTTAAGGCTAATTTTGTTCATTTAAATATTAATACTTAACTAACAGCTACTTCAGTGAGTCTGATGGGAGAAGCTGCATTTCTAAGAGCAGAGTTGTGAATATCTTAATTGCTTTAAGCTTCTTACTAAACTTACTCAAATACACATCTATTTATCGATGTAACTGGAAAACCAAACTACAGGATGTCATGCATCCTTTTTGGCATCCACTCTGGTCCAAATGTGCTCTCCTGAACTTGTCCCTCCTTAACTCACTCTGAATGATGTTGCTGAGGCACTGCCTCTTCCACAGCTGAAGCTGTCTCCTAAGCTGACTTCTGAGGGCACCAGGTGTCCCAGTGCCTGAGGTTTGGGGCTAGCTGTGGTCCTATTAGCTTCTCATGAGGCAGCAAAGGGTCGTCACTCTTGATACACTGCAGCTAGAATGACTCTTCTGGAATGCTAATCTGACTGGGTCATGGCCCTGCTTAAGAAAAATGCTTCAACAAGCGACTATTATCTTTGGGGTGTTCAGACTCCTACCTGCTGAGCCCTATCTTCTAACCTAGTGATCCTCTCTAGACCCAGAAACAGCGGATTTATGAGGGGCTTGCGGCTCTTCAGAGTTGTGACTTTTCTGAATGAGAATGGCACTGCCAGCCTCAATCAGAGGTAACTTTTTTAATTGCCAAAAGGCACATACATCTACTGAGAACATGATGAGTCCCACTTCTACAGTCATTTAAAACAAGGAGGACGCATAACTCAGATTTAAATGAGCCACTTAAGCAACCCTTGCCTAAGACACTTATTTAGCTTTTTCCACCTCTGAGCAAACATCCAGTGCCTGACGTTTTTATTCTGCTTCCCCAAATAAAGAGATGTGACAACTGCATGACTAATAGGATCTTTTCAAGAGAATTATGAAGAATTTTCCTTTAGTTTTGGAAGGTTCACTGTTTTCCACACAACCATTTAGCACTTTATAATTTTATAAAGCACCATCTAATTCAGTAGTAACACATTATAGTTAGCAGCTATTTGCATTAAAATTTATTTTAAAATACTATTTTTAAGTAGGCAAACTGAAATATAACTATATGCCATCAACGGCAATGGATGCTAATATTATATTATTTCTAATATTATATTATTTCTAACTCTCAAAGATCTGACCCCAAAGATTTCAGATGGAAGATTCAGGTAAGCACTGAAATATCCCACATATTATAAAACTAATTAATCTTGCCCTCTTGGAAGAAAAAAAAAAACATTTACTTTTCTTTAGGTGAGCTTTAAGGTCTGATTTAGGAACACCTGATATCCTGACCACTGCTGTATTTGAAATAACAGAGATATATTTCCCTCTCAAGACCAGGCAAATTACACAGTGTATTTTAAAATAAGCCAGTTTACCCACCCAGAAATTACACAGTATATTTTAAAATAAGCCAGTTTACCCACCCAGAAACAGGCCTTAAAATCAATGAATGATACCAAGAAGGAGTATGCTATACTTAGAAATATTTGACCTGCCGATGAAGAACAAGATAAATGTAATTTTGAATTCTCATCATAAAAATGTAATAAACCAATGCTAAATACTGTGTGACACTGATTTCTTGTGAAAACAAAACATACTTGGTAAGATCTACAGAGGTTGAGGCCCATATCAATTTGGGTGGAACATATCGAGGTGGCATTTTATACAGTAAATAATACTGTTGACGAATCTGATTTACAAAACGCTGCTGTGAACAGCCTTAATGACAAGGAAGTGGTTCTGGAACCTGGATCTGTACTGTGTGGGTACAATGACATAGCTAAGGTTGAGAAATCAGCATTGGCAGGAACTCCCATGAGGCTCTCACACCCAGCAAGGCCTCCTGACGTCAGGATTTAGAACTGGGGCCAGACTAATGGGAGAGGCTAAGATATTATGGGTCATAATCCATCATGTCTTTTTGTTGTTGTTGTTGGTTTTTTGTGGAGTTATTTTTCATTGTGTGTGTGTTTTTTTTTTTTCCCTCTCCATTGCAATTTTATTTGAATGTAGTATTTGGGATAGTTGTCCTTAAGGGCTGTTATTTCCCAAATTCATTCTGTGTTTTTAAAAATTTCAACTCTGTAGGAAAGAATGATCTGCAACCTCAGTATGATTATCATTTTGGGGGTGTACTGTTCTAGTCTTTCTCCATATGAGCTGATGATAATAATAACAGCTGCCATTTACTGGGTGATTTCTTTGTATCAGGCACCATGCTAACTGCTTTTGAGGCATAACTTCTGCCAACTGTCACAAGTCTCTGAGGTAGGTACTGTACCACCATCTGCATCACACACATGAGGAAACCAGGCTCAGACAGGCTAACTTAGTTGCGTAAGATCACAGAAGTGCTAACTTTGTCAGTTCAGATGTCAGCCCAGATCTTTCTCACTAAAAGGCTCTGTCTTTCCCACTATACTTGGACACCCACAAAATGCATTCCAGTTATAGCAAATTTACCTCCTGAATTTAATCTATGAACTTATTAATAGGTTCTATTTATTGATATTTATTCATCTATCCTAACAGTGCCCATAATACTACCTAAAATTCACAAATGCCATTTTAATTTCCTAACCTCCATCATTGGACATTTACTTTACCAATTTTTGTGCTGTTATAAGTAATGCCTTTTTTGCTCATACGTTTTCTTTAGCATAGATCATTTCTCCCAAAAAAATATTCCAGAAGAATGAACACTTTCATGGCCTCTGCTACATATTTCCTGACCGATTTCCAAGAGCGATATCAATGTACACTTTAGTGACCATACAAGATTATGCTAAGTTCTCCACATGCATGCCAATATAAAGAGTAAACTTATTTTTGCCAATTTAATAGCATAAGCTGACGCTATTTGCATTTACTTCTAAGATTGAACATTTTCCCATGTTTATCAATTCTACATCCTCTTCTGCAAACTGTTTGTTCATATCCTTTGCCCATTTGTTTTTTTCTTACCGATTCATGTAAGCTCTTCCTATTAATATATTGATACCTTTATCTCATATGTTCCCAGACTCTTGTTTGCAATTCCTTTTGTTTCTTGACAAAATTTCTTTATAAAGAAGTTTTGAAAATATGCATATAATCCATCCTTTCTCTTTGTGATCTCTTTAATTGATTAGAAAGTTATCTTTCCTACAGGTAAGTAATAGTAAGTTTATTTTCTTCAAGTGTTCCTATGTATGGAGGAATCTACAACTTAATTTTTTCTAAAATAATTCTTTAACCCACCTGGAATTTACTGGTGTGTGCCCAGAGTAACAGGTCTAAATATATTTTTCCCAACATCTCAAACAGTTATCTCAATATTATGCATTAAATATAATTTTTTGCCACTCTTTTGTGCTGTTTGTTTACAACACAAAAGGGAGAGGTTGAAAACGTGAGAAAGTTCCTTGGAGGAGACTGTTCAGGCACCTGTGGAGGGATTAGCCTTGAACAGGAAGGTCAAGTCCCTCCTTAGGGTTTAGAGAGATGAGGGAGGGGCTGACCGGGCAGCTTGTAGGTGTGGAAATGCTGCCCAACAGCTTTGATTCTCCCTGACAGGAAGGGGGCCTGACTTCCAAAGGACACAGGGTCTTCCTAGAGGTCCTGCTTTTCAAGCTGAATATCCAGTGGAAACGGCATAAAAGTTCTGGTCTGCAAGCCCTTGGATTTTATACTTTCCCATCCAAGTGCTAACCAGGCCCGACTGTGCTTGGCTTCAGGTGAGATCGGGCACATTCTGGGTGGTATGAACATAGACTGGGGATCATATTCTCTAGCTCCAGCTTCCACCTCTCCACTCCCTCCCTCCTGCTGCTCTTCACTTTTTTTGTGGGGTCACCCAGTCCCCAACCCCTCCCTCCAAGCAGCTGCATGACACAACCAGGGTCCTATAACATGTTACATGTGTGCCACCTTTTAATTCACAGCATGTCCACCTTTGACCTGCATGATCGCCTGGGCTGGAAGGCAAGGCAAGCACTCAAGTCCCAAGACATTGGCAGGAACTCCCATGTGGCTCTCACACCCAGCTGTCAGGACTGTAAGCCTCCTATTCTGCTCTTGACACACTATTGTGGGCTGACTTAGTCACTTCAACACATCTCTCTCCAGCATCCTCCTAACCACACGCAATAGCCACCTAATCAGTCTGCTTCTCTGCTTCCAGACTGCCTGGTGCTGCTGGAGAATGGATCTGACCTGCTCCATGACACAGCTTCATAGCTCCCAGGCTGTGAGACACTCAGGCAAGTGACCCTCTCGCCAAGCCTTCCAGTACACTGGTTTATAAGAGAACGTAGATCTTTGGGTGTTGGGAAGACGAAGAAAATTCATGCATCTAAAGAGTTTATAATAGCAAACTTAATAAATGTCGGCAGTAAAAAGGGCTGATGGGTTCCCCTGTAAATTTGTGCTATCCTATCCCATCTGGCCCCTCACCAATCACAATATTTCTACTCTAACAAATTCCCTGTAAGAGCTTTTCTAGGCCATTTTTGTGGCCCTTTAGCTTCCAACTCCACATGCTCACAAGAATTAGGGGAAAAAAAAAATTCAAGAAGGAAAAACTTAGTAGTCTCAGAACCAGAAAGAACTTCAACAGGTTAAGCATCTGAGCAGGGAAAACAGGGTGTTTGTATAGGGTAACCTTTGCCCTACCTCCTAGCTGCAGAGGGGAGTGAGGGCGTCTCCACATTTCCATGTTGCTGGGGACCTGAAGAAGTGTGAGCATGGCAGTGTTTTTCCAGAATGAGGACCGACCCCACAGGTCACCTATTTTCACCTCTGAACATCTACGAAACTGAATTCCTAGACAAACTCCCCCTAGGGAAGGACAAAGAAATAGAAGGAAAAATGACAAAAAACCAAAAAACCAAAAAAAACCAAACTTCTATTAGTAAACTAAACTTAAAAAAAAAAAAAAAACAAAAAACCATGGGCACGCTCTTTATTTTCCTTTTGGTTTCTCCTGACTTTCAGGAAAGTTCCCTTTGGCAATGTCAGTTTCTTCCAGATGTGCACTGAGAACAAGGGAGAGAGATTTTATTTTTATTTTATTTTTTGCTGTTGGGACTTTTGGATCTGTCTGTGCTGGGACAGAGAGGAAGAATGCATGCGTCACAGCCATGGAGCAGGCTCAGGGATGCTGGGGTGGGGGCTCCAAGTCAAAGTGCCTCCTGCTCTCACTTAAGGAAGAAAACTTTGGGGTCCTTCCTAGTGTCTGCCTCCAAGCTGAGGCAGTCACTGGGTGACCTTTGATGTCTGCTCCCCTGACAAGGGTTCTGAGCCTCCTCTTGGATGGAGCTGGGTAGGGAGACAGGGCACCTTGCACACAGATTTCCAGACCCTTCTCATTGGAGGTGATGGAGGCTCCAGATTCCCACACTGGCCGAGGCTACCCGCCTACTCTTGCTCTGACATCAATCTTGTGTTCTTGTAAGTCAAGCAATAGAGTGAGCTCAAACACGTTGAGCTGACCACAAGTGGGCCCAATCAAGGTTTTCTTCCTTCAGAAACCCTAATGTCCAATTGCTACATTTTTTGTGTGTGCCTCCTCTTATGTGTCTTGATTTTCATTCTGAAGTTCCTTTTCACTTTATGAAAGCGAAAAAGCAGTTCACGAAAATCGGTTAGACCCACTTCAAAAATGCCTGACACATGCTTTCCCATTTTTGTCTGATGAAATCAACCGCAGCGGGAAGGGAAAGCCAAGCTGAACACCGGAGTGTTATGAGTAATCTGGGGTCTAATTAGGTTTTGCTCTTGCAATTACTTGACACAAACCATGCCTTACAAAAACATGGGACTAAGACGAACCTTTTTATTTTGGTTTTGAGTTTTTCTCCTTTAAATAGAATTTCCGTGGATTTCCTCAGATTGGCCTCTATCCCCAAGCCTAGAAAATCCGTAGAAGCAGCTCACCATGCCTGTTTCCGCCCCACGAACTGGGATTTTTCAGAAACCATCCCTAAAACAGAGAAATCGGAGCCCTCTTCTGAAGGGACGCAACTAAGATAACTTGGAACAAAGGTGTTTCATTTCTGACTTGGCTGAGGAGGGCCCAGCCGTCCTGCCCAGGCAAGGTCTTGCAGATGAAGCCACCCAACAGCAGCAAGGACAGCAGGACCCCAGCGGTGTGTCCCAGCCCCCTTCAGTGGCACGCTTACCCAGCCGTGGCGAGGCCCAGGCGGTGGACGGGAAGCCGGCTTCCAGGCCTTGCTGCCCGCCCTCCCGGGCGCGGCTGAGGCTGTAGCTACTGTAGCCGCGGCGCATCGCGAACTTGCAGACGCTGCGGCCGCGCGCGGTGCAGTTGAAGAGGTAGCAGCCGAGCGCGGTGTCCGTGGTCGCGGGCCGCCGGGGCAGCTCCACCACAGCCACGGAGCAGCGCGGCTCGGCGCAGCAGGCCGCCACGCACTCCCGCGAGTCCCGCACGGCCGTCGGCGCCCTCAGGAAGCCGGCGCCGGCCGCGATGGAGTCCTTGATGCGGATGACGGCGTCCGGCATGGCGCTGTAGTCGCCGCCGCCCGGGCCGGGACAGCCCTGCTGAGGGCCGCCGCTAGCGCGCAGCTCCAGCGGCAGCTCCTCCTGCGGCCGCTCCTGC